ACACACACACACACACATACATTACATTAAGTAATTAATATATATGGTATATATTAAATAAAAAGTACACATATTTCAAACATTATATTACAATTTGAAAGAAAAAAGATAATTATATGATGTAAAAAAATAGATAACAATATCTTTACTGTTTGTATAATCTTTTCACTCGTAGGATGTTTTGCTTGTGGTATGGAGAATGGTTTCAGAGTATACAATTGTGACCCTTTAAAAGAGAAGGTACGTCATTTCAGTGATGGAGGCCTTGGTTATGTTGAAATGCTATTCAGATGTAATTATTTAGCATTAGTTGGTAGTGGAACAAAACCCATGTATCCAACAAATAAAGGTAAAGTATTTTATATATTTTTTCTATCTCAGGATTTAAGAAATGGATTATTTAGTATCTATTTTACATAAAACTTTCAGTTATGATATGGGATGACCTTAAAAAATCACCAGCTATCACTTTAGAGTTTAATGCTCCTGTAAAAGGTGTTAAATTAAGAAGAGATAGGATAGTAGTAATTTTAGAAGGAGTCATAAAAGTATATACATTTACGCAAAATCCTCAACAACTTCACGTATTTGAAACTAATCCAAATCCCAGAGGTTTATGTGTCTTATGTCCAAATAGTAGTAATTCATTGCTTGCTTTTCCTGGTAGAAAGAATGGACATGTTCAAGGTAAAATTTTAAATAATATTGTTAATTTATAAAATAAAAATCTTGTTAATTTATAAAATAATTTCTGTCTATTCTAGTGATAGATTTGGCTAATACAGAAAAGCAGCCATTAAATATTGAAGCTCATGAGACACCTTTATCTTGTATAGCCTTAAACTTGCAAGGTACTAGATTAGCTACGGCTTCAGAAAAAGGAACCTTAATAAGAGTATTTGAAACCCAGACTGGTAATATGATTAATGAGTTGAGAAGAGGAGCTAATCATGCAAACATTTATTGGTAATAAAAATGAGATACTTTATAACTGAGATACTACTGAAATAATATTAATTATTTAAATTTATATTATTGCAGCATTAATTTTAATCATGATTCTACTTGGCTATGTGTGGCGAGTGATCATGGAACCGTACACGTTTTTGCTGTAGAAGATCAAAAATTAAATCGTCAATCTAGTTTAGCATCTGCTACTTTTCTGCCAAAATACTTTAGTTCAAGCTGGAGTTTCTGTAAATTTCAAGTTCCAGGTGGTCCACAATGTATGTGTGCATTTGGAACTGATAACAATAGTATTATAGGTCAGTACTACTGCAGAGTAGTAATATACGTATATAATGTAATAATGATTCCTTACATGACAGATTCCTTTTTGTTATTTTTACAGTAATATGCGCAGACGGTAGCTATTATAAATTCGTATTTAACAATAAAGGTGAATGTACGAAAGATTTTTATGCACAGTTCCTCGAATTAACGGACGACAAAATGTGATTGAAAAATAAAAGGGAGGTAAAGTATAATATCTATACTATCTATTAAGCAATTAAATGAAAGTACATACATATCTAACATTTAATAAGCTATAGTTATAATAAGTATATTAAGATTATTCTACATATTTTTCTTTAACGTTCTGTTTTCAGTGTCTATGGATGAGATCACATGAAATAGTTTATATGAAAAGTGAGTACTGTGTTTGTTATTTGAAGTCGTATTATATAGTAGAGGACCAAACGAAAAGTACTATTTGTATTTGTTGGTGCACTGTGCGGGACTATTAATGATAAAAAAGAAGAACTTTAAGGAATGTTAGAAGGCCTATTTCTGAGATGTTTACTTATGGAACTATACGTTCTTAAATGTTACAAGCAAAGAGAGGAACTTAATGTTTAGAAGTTCCGCTTAACGTGTCGGTGTGAAAAATAATTTTCTTACGTTTAAATTGAACGTCTTTTAGCTAAAGCTAATGCAAATATACGAAGAATATTATTTTGAAATTTTTGGTGGCACATTATGCTCAGTGATCGAATTGTGTACTTTTTTATATTTATTTTATAAAATTATAAATGTTTTATTCGACCCTACAGAAAATATATAGTGTTCGAATATAATTTTGCGTCATAAGTGTTAACAAATTAATGTAGAATCATGAGATTTGGCTATTTATCAATCGTATCTGATAATTAGCTAAATTAAAAAATGGGACGTATATAACGTAATCAAGTTTTATAATCTTTATTTTATGGTTTCATACATTTAATATACATATACACAAGAAATAACTACATTTAGTTGTTATTATTATATTACCACAAAATATTAAGATTTGAAGTATGATAAAGAAGTTGAGATTGGATATAAAATAAAAATGATTACGGAACAAAACACTATATTTGTTCATGATAAAATATAAATGATATTGATCAATTGCAAGCGATATATTTCATTTTTTTTTCTTTTTTTCTAATATATGATAATGTGAAATTTGATGAAAAATCGTATGCAACATTAATAATTAGAATTCAGTCTTACAGAAAGAGGATACGCAAATATAAACTAAAGCTTTTCAACCTAATGTCGTTAAATTGAAAAGATTTTACGATTTGTCATAGCATTCGGATTAAAATGAAAAATATGTATATTATATTACGATATATGCGTCGCCGCATTTCGATATGCAGTTTAGATTTACATTAAGAATAATTGTAATTATATATTTCTGTGTGCGTTGTCCGAAATTTTAAGATATCATTAAAAAAAAAAAAAACACCGCGAAGCTGTTTATTAACAATTAAAGTATGAACAATAAGTAACACATGTAATAATATACGAAGCAAGCTTTTTGTACTGCAGACTTCTTTTGAGCTTTTATAAAATGAAACATCTCCATCGTGTTATGTATAGAAATAAGTTGCACAGTGTTTTTCCAACATAAGTTTGTACCGCACCTTTCTCATTCGCCTTTGTTTTATTCAATTCAATTATCGTCAAAGGCGAAACACGTTTGAGATTTGATTTGAATTACAAAACTTCAGATGACAAGATTGAATCTGTAGGCCTTGTTGGCAGACCGAGTGTAATTTTTAAAATCTGTTTAAAAAACACTGTCATTTTAAAGGATGTCTCTCGATAACGAACCCTCTTGTCATCGAATGCGTCCTTTCACATTCATTGTAACGAATAAATACGACTTTCTGTCGCTATTTCTATAACTTCATATAATGATTTTTAAACCTCGTAGGGTTTATTTGCGTCTGCCTGAATGGCCTTTGATTTTTGTACAACCGGGACTACGGGCTTTTTCTTCACACCATGAAGAACATGAGTCAGTCCCTTTTTCGTTTCGAGACTCTTGTAGGTGCTATACACGACGAACCATACGTAAGAACTAGTGATCACGAGAAAGAGAACGATCATACCTGCAAAAGAATTATTTTCTGTAATAATAGAATTTTTGAAATGGTTCAAATTTCTGATTGACGAAATATTGTGAATGTATTGTGCATGGGATTGTGCATATGAAATCTTTCGTTTTTCAAAACAAAGTAAAATTACCAAATGGATACTAATGTCTAATATCCCTTATTTATAATTCTTTTAATTTTGCATTTATGAATGATCATTTGTTGAAATACTCAAACAGCATGTTATTCCAGTATGTGATTCCATGATGGAATTATGAAAACAGTATTGAGGAAATTTTACAGTTTAAAATTAATGATTCAATTGTGTAGAAGTCATTTTAAAATTTCATATGCACCAATCTAATAATCTAAAGCTATGCGCCCACTGAAACGACCATAATGCGAAGAACATTTAAGTTTTGTTTCGAGGCAGCAACTTTTTCAAAATGCATGCTACATTAATGAAT